GATCACCTGGAGGAATGGTGCCAGGTTGGGGACTCAGAGTTGGTCTCTGCTGCTGGCAGATTAGGCACTCAGCAGTGGCTGTAGCCAAGTTGGTCTTGGTGAGCGGAAGTCCATGCTGCTGAGCCTGTGTATAACCTCCATTCCTGCCACCACAGCCACTTTGTTCATGAGCCCCCTGGGCAATGATGTGAGTGGCTGGGAAAGGAGGATGACTGGTTTCCGCAGAAGATGTCATCCTATCCACTTGACTGTTAAAATGCTCCTCTGTCAAGGTCACCCTTTGGTGAGCATTCACATGAGACATAAATATCTTTACTTCATTGGTCCATTCAGAGAAATGCTAGAGGGCCTGAAGATCATGCTTCTAATAACTTACCTAGGAAGAGAGGAAGGAAGAAGATGGTCTTACCTGCACGCGGGTTCGGATGACATCCATAGGATTGGTGAGGATGGAGGCAGTGGCTGCAGCCAGGGGCCCTGAGATGGCTTGAAAAACAATGTGAGGGCACTCCTTAGGACAGAGGTATGAGAGCTGCTCTGGAATCAGAGGAAAGACAGTGCCTTAAGACATGAGCTACCACCCTGCCCAACCTCACTATATTTGCTGCTTCTAGCAGCTGGCATTCCCAACAATAACAAACTGTGCATCTTTAGCCATCTTAGACCCATAACTCTCATCTTTTTTTTTTTTTCTTTCTCTGCTTCCATCTGCATCCAACAAAAAAATTATATTATCAATAACAGGCCCCTTCCAGAAGTCATCATGGTCATGTCACCCATTTGAATAGGACAAGATTCCTCTGGTTCCTTTCACCTGATGAACAGAAGATTCTTTCTGACATAAAAACCTTTTGCCTCTTACTCTACTCCTCCCAGACTCATAGGCTAGAAAAGCATACACCACGTGTACTGAATAACTCTGGTCGTCTCTAAGGAAGGGAACTGGGTGGCTGAGGTGGGTGAGGAGTCTTTTCATTGCATACCCTTTCCTACTTTTTGAAATTAGAACCATGTGAATGTTCACATATGCACATAAATATTAAAATAAAAACATTTAAAATAAAAAGGGAAGGTCATATCTGACAGTGAAAATTTTTCTCTAGCCCATATCAGGCAAGAGAAATTCATTTTTCTAACTGCTGATGAAGAAGATGGAATGGTACCCAGGTTCACCCATTCCCAGTATCACTAGGAAGTCCACCTGCAATTCAATTTTTTGTTTCATCCTCTCTGGAGGTGAAAGACAAGAGTTTATTCATTTATTCAACAAAACTTTATTGAGTAACTACCATGGGCC